GAAGCAGATCAGCTTCTGCACATTGACATTTATCACAGATGGGTGACGTTTCAGGAAATATTCGATGTAATCTGGTCTTCGAGTAGTGCAAACTGAATTAACCTATGTTAATAGGTTAAGCAGGGTTTGTATCCACAAAAAAATCTTGAAGGTTTTAATTTATAAGAAATGCAAGAAGTTGAGTTTGTATAAACAGCATAATCCAGTATCTTTAACAGGGTACAATTAATTACAGGGAGGAAATTATAACAGGTCGGCTACCTTTGGTAAGTGATGTTAAGTGAAGGACAGAATCTGAGGTAATATGGTATATTTTATGTGAATGAATGAGAAATGTAATAAGTGGTAGCTTTAGGTTAATTGTGTTTTCCCTGTTGTATATACTGTAAACCACTAAAATGGTAAAAATAAATTTTTTAAAAATCAGTCTATGTACAAGTAATTCCAGTGAGGCAAAAGCTCAGACTGCTCGAAACCACTCAATTTCTATCTGTTATTTCTCCTCTTGGCTGTCTTTGACATTATTGAGAGCTGATAGCCCTAATGTGGTTATCTCAGGCACACAGCTCTGGCTGTGAGCGCAGAAGATCTTCTGTTTACATGGGGCAACCAATCAGGAGAATATTAACTTAAGGAAGGGAGAAAGAGGCTAAAATAGCTTGTTTCAGACAGAAGCTGAATTAAAGTGCTTCCTCAAGACCTGGTATAAGATAAATAAGGGTTACTTTGAACTGCAAATCATCCAAATCTCTTAAGAGTCAGAGTAGAGTGGAAGAATAAAAATATAGAATTGAAAATGAGCACAGTAGGTCCTCTTTAACAAAAAAAACTTCCTTATTAAAATTCTTATTTTTTAATAATTAACATACAAAACCAAAAAAACATCATTATATTATGGTGCCACTCAAAGTCAAGAAGGAGCTACTGTTAACCTTTCAAATAATAAAGGTTACCAATAGCTGCCTGTTGACTTTGAGTTATTCAATGCAAGAATTGACAACGTGAAACAGTTTACAGATTGGAAATATCAATATGACACCTTTAACCAATTAATTTGTTTTTATTTGTTCTAATCGTCACTGATGACCAGAAAAGATGCCCATTGAGTAACATACATCCAGTTCCTTACTTGGAGGAAAAAAAGTACAGCAAGGAAATTTTTAGCAGGACCGTATCTATGTACAAATACAATAGCATGTGGTGGCAACCATGTGGCCACCACACATGGTGGCCACATGTGGCAAGCAGAATCAAGCCTGCTTCCAGAGACAAAAGCCGGCTATGGCCACAAGATGGCAGTAATTTAAAGGAAGGCTCAAACAGGCAATGCAAGAAGATTATGGGACAAAATGCTAATTAATGTGTACAAGGAGAGATTGCTTCACTTGTGTTTAAATTGATGTTTATTTTTAGATTTCACTGGAACAATCACTGCTTGCCTTGCTTCCCCTCAAAGAATTCCACTACACAAATTGCAAATAAATATAAAAATAAAAGTCAGGGTGTAATCATATGTACGGAAGAGGATTAGGGCCACTGGGGAAAAAACGTGGGCACGTTTTTTTTTTCAGAGCCCTAATCCTCCTCCATACATATGTCTAATCCATTCGTTGTTTGTAGGAATAATTTAATCTGGACCAATGTAGTGGACCAACAGCACAGCTCATCACTGTCTCACAAAGATAGAGTAACTTACTATTTTGTGACTGTGTGTCCTATCTCTGTGTCCAGATCCTTATCTAAGGAAACTGTTTGTCATCACCCTTTTCCCCTTTGAGAGAATTTTTTTTTTTTTCTTACTAGAGTCCACCTTATGGCTTAAGAGCAAGATGGTTTGCTACAACTGTTGTATAGCCAAGAAAAAGTCTTCCCCAGAAAACTTAGAACTTGCTTCACCTGACTGTGTCAAATCAGCTTAGACAGCGAGGTAACTCGCTCCCAGCACACTGTTGCTATGCTGCATAATGTCTCACTCTTGTGACGTGTACCCTGTTGTTTCAGCTTAAAACATCCTTGCATGAGAAAGCCACGTCACTGACAGTAGAGACAGCACTCTGCCTTTGGCATGCAGCATTATCAGTCTGTATCACCCAGTGTGTCCCTCGTCATCTTTACAAATGGCTTTGCATCTACACAAGTGTGTCTGTGTGCGCTTTTTCATGTCTTTTTTCTTTTGGTTGTTGTTTTTTCAAAGTATATCACAGATGAGGACAGCTGTGAAAATATAAAATAAAACTGAAGACATGGACCACGTTTGTTAAAGAAAATCTTTTAAAATTGTATTGTTTAAAAAATGCACCAAACACAAAAAATATAAGACTTC